CACCCCTCCTCCCCTGAATCTAAGGTTTTGTTTTCTCTGTAGTATTTATAGGTAAGCCTTCAAAGGGAAGTCACTTAACTATTTAAGGACTTTTTACTAAGTTTTCAGCATTGAAACAAACCATAGAAGTGATTCCGTTCTGCTATTTTCCAATTTAAAAAAACAAAAACACTTAAAAATACACTTATTAGTTTAAATGAGCATCTATGTTAAAATCAATAAGGAATCAGTCTGAAGGAGCCACAAACACTGATGTCTGAGCTGTAAAGCACAGGTCTGAATGCTCATGGGTACAATAGGAATTCAATATGCCCCCCCCACCCAACACACGCACACACATACACACACACACACACACACACACCACTTCGGACACCTCTTTTGTAACCTGAAAAGTCAATATCTTTTTTAAAAATTGCGATTTTTAAAAAATATTCTAATCGGATTTATTAGCTGGGGTCTGAATGCTCATGGATATAATGGGACATAATGGGATATAATGGGAATTCAATATAACCCCCACCCCCTGGAGGGTCTATTTTATTTCTTTCGTTGAGATTTTTACAATATTTATAGTACCTATGAGGTCCATTTGACAGTTCTCTATTCCCTGTAATCTTCCTTTTTAAGTGAGAGCTGTTTATCTGGGTTGGCCCCAGGAGACAGATGTGTTACAGATGTGAGACGGGCCTCCTAACGATGTGTTCAGAGGGCTGCAGGGCTCCGGGTACCTGGAAGCGCAGGATGATGGTCCAGATGAGGCCCAGCGTGAGCCGGTGGTTCCCGTCCACGATGTCGTGGGAGCCCACGTTCTCCAGGTGCACCCGCTGCTCTTTGAGGAACTGCAGGGCCTTGTCCACGTTCTCCAGGCAGTGGATCCGCATGCGGCCCCGCGTGGGTCTGGGCTGGAGGACAGCAGGGGGGATTTATCTTTATTCTTTATTTAGTTTAGGGGAACAAACAGGGTCAAGCTCAAGCATGAAACCCGCCGAAAAGCTGGGAGAGACGGAGACTTTTAGAGGCTCGTTTTGGAGTTCCTGCTCAAAGTAAGCTATAAATATAGCTTAATTCTTCATTTATAGATATATTTAAATCTATAAAGATAGATAGATAGATAGATAGATAGATAGATAGATAGATAGATAGA